CACATGGAGAAAGTAAGCGAAAAAATCATAAATGGCAAATATTACTCATTTTACTTGCCTCATCACGCAGTAGTAAAGCCAGATAAAAAAACAACAAAAGTCAGAGTGGTCTTCAATGCCTCAAGATTCACTAGCCCAGATTTAATGCTCCTCATATTAAATTGGCGTATATTCAAAACGTATTCAATGGGACGTTGAGAAAATGTATCGACAAATAGTCGTACATAAAGACGACCAAGATTTTCAGCGAATTATATTCCGAAAATCCACCAATATTCCACTACACGACTACAAATTAAAAACAGTGACCTGCGGCGTTAACTGTGCCCCAATCTCAGCCATTCGAATACTCCAGAAATTGGCAGAAAATACCAAGTCAGAATTACCTCTGGCAACCCAGGTATTAAAAACACAAAAGTATGTAGACGATATCCTGTCTGGAAGTCACAGTATTTCACAAGCATACGAGTCACTAGCACAAGTGACACAAGCCCTTAAAACCGCAGGGTTTCCGATCCCTAATATCTTAAAAAATATACCACAAGAAAATTTGTTGGACACTAAGTTCCTAAAATTCCAATCCAATGGAATGCGATATCTGACTAGTTTTCATACCCTACAGAGTCAATGTCAGCATTATCCGCTATAACAAATAGCCAAATTTTATCCTCTGTGGCAAAATTTTTCGACCCCGTGGGGTGGCTTTCGCTACTAATGATACAAGCCAAAATCCTAATACAAGAATTGTGACTAGATGGAACCGACTGGGACGAACAAGTAAAACCACTCCGTTTATAAAAGTAGTCCCAGTTTGCGAGCAATCTACATGATATATCACAGATACAAATCCCACGTTGGGTAAATTATGCCCCAGAGCACAAAGTCGAACTACACGGCTTCTGTGACGCCTCTGAAAAGGCATATTGCGCAACTATATATGTTCGCACACAAAGCGCCAATGCGACCACATGCCACTTACTAGTAGCAAAAGCAAAAGTGGCTCCTTTAAAAACAATAAGTCTACCACGACTTGAATTATGTGGAGCGCTACTACTGGCCAAACTCGTGTCCATCGTACAAACGCAATTAAACATGGCACAATATAAATTATATCTATGGTCCGATTCCGAAATTGTACTAGCCTGGTGAGAAAACCTCCACACACATGGAAGACCTATATTTCCAATCGAACGTCTCAAATAATTGACCTAGTAGGATCCACCTCTTGGAGATACGTAGCCAGTGCTGACTATCAAGCTGATCTAGGTTCACGAGGGTGTAAACCCCTGCAACTTGCCACCACGACCCTCTGGCCCCCAATGGTTGATAGGATCTCCCGATTCTTGGCCACAATCGCTTATGCGTAACATAATTGCCCCAGAGAGTCGAAAAATCGATGCCTTTCACACAACCTTGCAGGATAATGACATCCTCGAGCGATTTTCCTCGTACCCCTGGGCACTTAGGGTAATCGCTTATATGCTCAAGTTCATAGAGCGACTCAAAATTAAACTTAAAGGAGTAACCTCATTATATTCCCAATACGATACAGTGACGCACCTAACCTTACAAAAAACAAACTTTTTCACTATTGAGAGAATCAAAACCTATTGACAAGAGAAGTCCCCTATTAGTTCTAAACCTATTCCTCTACACGAAAGGTCTTCTTCGTGTGAAATGTGAATGGTCTTGCCAATAAAAGCCTAACGTATAACGAACGCCATCCCATAATTATACCAAAGAAGTCTCGACTTGCCACATTACTCATCAATTATATCCACATAATAAACCTGCACCACGCACAAGCCAAATGTGCGAACACAGATTATGGCAGCACTTCCCCCGGAACGCTACAACTTTGCTCTGCCTTTCTCCATCACAGGTGTCGGTTTTGCTGGGCCTTTTCAAATAAAGGCGTCCATGTGAAGGTCTTCCACTCTGATGAAAGGCTATGTGGCTGCCTTTGCCTGTCTTACGACAAAAGCAGTGCACCTTGAGCTTTGTACTAATCTGACGAAGGAGGCTTTCCTTGCGACATTTGCTCGCTTCGTCGGTTGACGCGGCTTTCTATCAAAGAGAATGAGCGATAATGGTAAAACATTTATCGGCGCTCACAGAGCCACCGAATAACAGTTTGTGTATTTTATCCAACAAGTCTCACCTGAGATTGTAAAAAAATACGCGTCTCAATGCATTAAATGGCAGTTTATCCCCCCAACCGCTCCTCATATGAGTGGTTTATGGGAATCAGCTGTAAAAATCTTCAAATCCAACTTAAAAAAATAGTTGGAAATTACAAATTTAATCATAAAGAATTTACTACATTAATAATTCGAATTGAAGCCGTTCTCAATTCATGGTCTTTCTCCATCCTCTCGCAAGATCCCTCAGATTTCACAGCCTTAATTCCAGGGCACTTTCTCAAAGGAACACCCATTCTGGCCATACCTGAGCCAGGCGTGGAGTCACTTTCCCCAATAAATCGCTGGGAAAGAATTAAAATTCTCCATCACAATTTTAGTCGCCGACGGAAAGAAGAGTACATAAAGGATCTCCATAAAAGACTCCTGAACAAGCGCTAAAACTTGGAGGTTGTGTCATTATATTCATGTCATGATAATTGTCTACCCCCTACCGAATGGCGGCTTGGTCGCATAGAAAATCTACATTACGGCTCCGACGGTCATGTAAGGGTCGTTGATCTCCGTACCCAAAGCGGATCGTTGACCAGACCGCTCGTGAAGCTGTACTTTCTTTCATAATAATAACGATAAAGCAACGCTCCGACAGCTGCTCCTCGAAGCCAATCCTGCGTCCCGACTAAGGAGTCACCGAAATGAAGCACCGATGACGTGCCGACACTTTCGGCCGCAATATCGCCGCTCCACGGGATTGAGCAACGTTGTTGTAACGCTGCAACAGCTGCAACGACTCTTAGGCTAAACATTCGCTTAGGGGGGCCAGGATGGCTAAATGAGCTATAAGCCGTCCCGTCGTACATCCCTCCGCAAGCACCACACCACACAAGCAACACTGATACACTCCAACACACCACAACAATACATTCCCCTCCCGAAAACCCCACACACCAATACAAACAACTTCACACAACTCACCGAGGGACACTCATCACACACGATCTCACAAATATGCCCAACCAACAAAAAGGATCGAAGACTGGATACGGCCCCTTTTTTTCGATCGATCGCCGTCGCAAGTGAATCAGCCGAGTAATTTTCTGCGCAACACCGGAAACCTACACCATTTTAAAACCATTTTATAATTTCAAAGTTTTTTAATTGTGTAATTCGATTTTGTTTAACATATTAAATTTGCGGATTTGAAACCCGTCTATGTTTATATCATTATATTTACCTCTTTTATTCGGGAGCAAGTGTACATAAGCACCAAAACAAATAACATGACCGATTGCAAATCGGTACGATGGCAAATGGTGCAGATTCAACAATTTTTTTAGGAGAATTCAATTTACCGTGTGCTTAGTGGAAAGCTTTCGATGACTATAAATTATGCATTATTTACCATAAAACAATATAGTAAGCAGTTTTAGATCCACTGGAACAAATAAAAAACTAAACGCAACACAACTGTGAATAGAGAAGTAGATGAGATAAATAAAGAGAGAAAATAAAATAAAACAAAGCATAAAATAAAACAAAATCAAGCAAAAGCTTACTCGACATTTAAATTCGAACATTTAAACTTTAAGATAATGCACAAAACTTAAGAACATTTATACTTAGCTTGCAATTCAAAATCAAATCACGAAATATTCAATTAAATCACTAACAAAAATCAATTAAAATTGAAGATTTTTATAAAATAAAGACACAAAAGTTTACAGCCAAAAAATGTTATTTTACAAGATACTTGTAGATGAAAATCGTTGTAAGAGCTAAATGCTGTCCCAAAAATCGAGTTTGAGATGTGTTTCGACGGTTGGAAGAAGCGAATGGAGACTTTTTTGAAGGCGTTATTATTAATGTAGACGAATGAATAAAAAAAGGAAAATTTCCGTTATTATTGAACACACCTAGTAGACTATTATTTTCCATGGTTTCAAAGAAATCGAAAGACTAAATGCAAATCGCTTTTTTCTGACGGAATCTTACCAATATGCTTTCTTAAATATTATATTATATAATATAATGTGAGGTAGCGCTGAATATGAAAGATATCAGTGTAGACCGTGGTAAAATTTGCTTATATCCAATATATTGATTTCCATTTCTCTGATTGAATTTTTTCCCATATGCCCAATATACTCAATTTAGCCAATTTTGTTGAATTCATATCGCATGTATATCATCTTAGGTTATTAGGTTGATAAGTACCTCGGATATGGAGCAGAATATAGTAATGAAACTTAGTGAGTCCAATGCATGGAATATAAGTTAATAAGATACCTAATAAGCAAATTACGAGAGTATGAAATGTTCGATTACGCCCGAACTTAGATTTGCCTCACTTGTTTTGTTTTGATTTTATTAAGTAATCCACTGTCTAATTGTACTTTTTTAATAACAACTATAACAACAAGTAAGGAAGGACTACAAGTAAGTTCGGGTGTAACCGAACATTTATACTCTCGCAAGGTAAGCTGATATACGTGCTTTTTACATATTTGTAATTAAAAATGGGCAGTATTGCATACATTATTTACAATCACATGCAAGAGAATACACTGTTATTAGAAACACATTCTTTCGGAAATTCAATGAGATTTCTTGCACATTGCGTCACCCGGATTTCAACTCGTCTCGTCACCCTGATCATTTATTTATACGAGTACATAGCACTATATCTAACTCGATTATATATAGGGGAGACAAACAACCATTAGGTGAACAAAACTATTATAGTCTGTGCGACATGTTGCAAGAGTATAAAAATTTAGAAGTAATATACGTGCATCTATAATATATCTATAAAGAATATAATAGTACTACAAGTATTAAAATAAGTTATAATGAATTTAGGTAATACCAACCTGTGTATATTTGATGTCCCGCGATGCTGTACATATGGAAATCGAAGGAACATCTCAATGTCCCACCCAAGTAATGCTGGCTGCTGCTTTAGGATGTGAAGAGTTAGGTATTGCGAACAAGCTATTAGCGCAAAGTATTTTTGGATTATGGATGACGAGTGGGCTCTTAGATATACAGTTAAAATCACATCACCGACCTTATGCGGTTAGAGTTGTATGGCAATCCCTACTAGACAAATTCAGCAATGGCAATGCAATTGAAAAAAAATTTGATGATCCAATGATAATGCTTAAACGAAATATTTTTTTCTCAAAACGTGACGAAGAGAAAATTAAGTACGACATTATTTTTAAACCATTTTAATGAGTCAGTTAATACTATCTATTTTTGTATAGAGACCAGCGCATTTTAGAGTTGTTATACGAAGAAGCCAAGTATAATGTTTTATCTGGTCGATATGTAATGGAATCGTCCCATGCTTTTATGCTAGGTGGTATACAGGCAAGAATCGAATTGGGTCCATACAATTCTCATACCCACACTATTGGTTTTCTTAGGTACAGTAAACCAGGGTGTTTTACATATTTTTAACTAATGAGACAACTTTCAGAGAAAACCAATTAAGATTCCTACCACAACATGTTGCAAGAAGTACAAATTGGGCTTGGTTACCAGTCAGTCGAAAGAGTTCGGCTGAAGTTAAGCTTTTAGAACAACTCAAACGTGTTCCTTTAACTGCGACGACAAAGAAACTTATGCGCAAGTATTTGGAATTTTGCTGGGCACTTCCTTTTTATGGGTAAATAATTTAAGATTACTAAATTTTATGTAACATTTACATTTGTTAATAGAGCTGTTTTTTTCGACGGGCAAATGGAGCAACCGGTTCGTGGTCTAATGAGTTTGGTTAGTCACAAAGACGTAAGAATTCAAATAGCAGTCAATGAACGTGGAATATTTATTATAGATCCTTTTGAGTGCGTAAGTATTGCCTGGGAAGTCTTTGTATTGTGTTAATATTTTTAATAACTACATATGTATGTATACTTTTATTACATATTATTGAACACCAGTTTTATGATAAAAGGAAATACTGGGCTAAGTTCGAGCAGAACTGTAGGTTTAATACTTTTAGGAATTGAAGGATTGCAAATCATTTCGGAAATTTGCAAATTTTTTTTTTATTCAGTTGACATACAGTTCGGTTCTTTTCTCCCACCAGTCCCCAAATCACAATATGTAATAATAACTTTCGTCTTATATGTTAAAATTGAATGAAAACAAGTAACGAAGTCTTGAAACTTGCAACGATCAAAGCCGGAGAAATACCTTCAGGTATTGGCACTATTAAAAAATAGTTTCATTTATATTGAACGGCAAACCATTAATATAATTTTATAAATTGTAAGAAAATGTGTCACTTAGTTTTATTAAAATATCACACAGCTTGACCAACCTAAACGGTTTAGAATCAGGTGGAAAGTCGAAAATTATTACAGAGGGTATATTGGGGGCAGAGAAATGAAAGGGCTGATTGAATTAATCGTTGTTCATGTATACTTCAGAACCAATTGTCAAGCAATTTTATAAATATATAAATCTAAACATAGATATGGAGTCCGATCAGCCGTTCGCCCTGAATTTCAGTAACACTCATTAAAAAAATACCCTCTTTCAATTTCATTAAAATAACACCCACATTAGCCATTATATAATATGTGGTATAAAGTCCACTGGAAAAGCTCAAAGGCACTATTTTTGACAAGTTTTATCCGAATATATTCATTAGTGTTTTATTTGTGTACTGGAAAGTGAAAGAATCAGATGCAATTTAAAATTGTGTTGTATGGGAAGTGGGCGTGGTTGTAGTCCGCTTTCGCCCATTCGCACTGCAATATACGAATATCATAGTAATGCAACCTACTGAGTTTGGTTAAAATCGGTCGAGCATTCCACAGGTGCACCTTGCTACAGCAATCCCCTGTGCCATATTATAGTTTCTTATCTTATTTTAGTGCTAAGTTATGATATTTTATAGGTTTTTGATTAATGGCGTTTTTTGGGCGTAGCACTAGTCCGATTACGCCTATCTACGAACTCCTCCTCAAGGAACACGTGTACCAAGTTTCATATGGATATCTCAATACTGACTCAAGTTACAACTTGCACAGACAGACGGACGGACGCATATATCGGGTGTTTTTTTCGTGGTATAGAACTTTAAGTTGGTATTACTGTTCAAGATGGCGACCGATTTAACAGCTGTAAAGTGATTTATTCTCAGTTTTGTTTGGCTATTCATCATGAATAGATTCACGGCTGAACAACGCTTGCAAATAGTGCAATTTTATTATTAAAATAATGGTTCTGTGCGGAATACATATCGCGCACTACGTTCATTTTATGATGAAGCGCACTACTGGTTGACTGGCTACGTCGACAAACAAAACTGCCGCGTTTGGAGTGAAGCTAATCCTCAAATGTATGTCGAAACACCGTTACATCCAGAAAAACTGACTGTTTGGTGCTCTTTTTCAACTCGTCTCGTAATCCTTATCATTTATATATGTAACCCTATATCTATCCCGATTATTTTTATGTGATACAAGCAACCGTTACATGAACAAAACTATATATCTGTAGCAATATGTTGCAAGGGTATAATTATCACTAAGTATTGTTTGCGGTTTGTAACCAAACAATCTATAAGTATTAATTCATACTGCTTGATTTGTTAGAGTTTTCAGAGTCAAAGAGAGAAGAGTCTGGTCTATTATGGGAGGTAATACGAATAAAAGCTACAAATGTCCAGATTAATAAATTGATAATATGGCTAGATACCATATATTCATATTTATATTAATTTTAGTTAATACGGAAAATTTTATGCCCATGCTTCGGAAACTTAGAAAGACTTGTTAATGAAACGAAGTAGGCACGTGAGCACTGAATAATTCGTTAATAGTTAATTAGTAAAATTAAGTTTATCATTAAATGCTTAAGCTGTGCGAAATCTGCTTAAAATAAATAAAAATTTTTTTGGGTCCTCTCTCTATTGCATAAGAGAGACACAAATTATTGTAATTGTTATATTGAGGGTATGCCCTATATCAAAGTCTAACCCGATTTCATTCATATTTGGTATAAAGGCAGGTGAAAAGCCGATAATCATTGATATTGCGTATATGTGTGCTAGAGGAAGTTTCGGACTAAATTCATTTACTTTTGTCATTCAACTTACGATTTTTTTATAAAAAGTTTCCTTAAACTAACCACATTAAGGGTGTGAAAAGGTGATCTTTGGGTATTTTATTAAATTTTTAAACTACTGCATAAAATATTTTAAGATTTTGAGGATATATTTATATACATATTATTCGCTATTTCCCAAGTTACCTCAAAAAGTACTAAACTGCAGTAAATAAACTGGGAGTCTTTGTAAATGATTTGAAATTTCAAATTTTGCTCAAATATAATATGTTTCTTGGCGCCAAAATTACATTTTTAATACAATCGAAAAACTAGAATGTCATTGTCAGGAAAAATATCGGGTTTTCCATTAGGGATGATATGATTTCAAGCTGATTATACTGATCGGCTACACTTAAAAATGCTACAACTCAAAAAATTTTATATAATAATTTAAAGTTTTAACATGTTATTTTTTAAAATATAAGCTATCAAAATATGCTAACTCAAAAAAAAAATGTTTTTGAATTTTTACAGCAGGTGAGTCCCTTAATGAAAAATTAATATATTTCGTGTATTGCAGTTTCACAATGCATCAAGAAATTTTTATGAGAACTGGTTCATCAACGCTTAGTTAATACAAATTCAGAACTTAAACCCCAAATGCACCTTCCTACTGTGATCATTTGTACAAAATTGTGTTTAGTAACTTAATTCTTAGAGACTTAGTTTTCGTTAGAGTGTCATCGCGTTTTTGGCAGTTTGCAATATTGATTGAATACCAAAAATTTAGGATAATTATTTTTTGTACATACGGTCAAATTTGAAACATATTTATATTTTGTAAACCATCAATGCAATCAGACGTGCTTGGTAAGGACAATTTTTATAGGGAAATTTGTTTTACCAACATAATAAACCTCAACATTCCTTGGCAAATTGCACGGTTTAATCAAAGCAACAGTAAGAAATATAAAAAAAAATTAAATTACAATTAGGCAATTGATGATTCCTCAAGGTACAGATTATCTTTACTCCAGTTCCTATTGTGAACTTTTTATCGCAGATATCGGTCAATCTGTAAGATATACATATGTATAATCGAAATTCGGACAGAACACCGAATTTAAGCAAGCGTTCCTTTCATCAGCGGAATACGGCAGATGACGGACCCTGTGGCAAGGCAGACAGCGAGCAAAGAGTCCAGACGAGGCAAGAAGTGGAGACGGCAACGCGAGCGCAAGTTGCAACGTGTTTCATTTTATTGCTTGAACCATTATTAATAAACAAAGTCAAACGGACTTAGCTGACATTATTTGATCTAAGAAGCGGGACTTGTGTATCCACACTGGTGTAGCTGCGCAAAAAAGTATATGTGCATACGTACATACACATAGACACAAGAAATAAGAATTTTTGAACGATCCAAGGATTGAGCAGCGCAAAACGGCATGATTTTGCACAACGGCGCAACGGCAACGTCCTTTGTTCAGAATAATTGTCAATGCGCAGCGAAATATCAACGTCAGCGTCTTATGAAATAAGACGCACACAAATTAACAAGCAGAACATTGTTCCTCATACGTACAGCGTGCAAGTTCAGATACGCAACGACTAAGTACAGCCATTTTTTATGCACGCAACGATTAAACAGCAGAAAGTTAGCAAGCTCAATTGTACTACGACCGCCGCAAACTTCGGACAAACTTGGCGAAATGAAGCCAATTCAACGTCATTACATCAGCGAGTCAACGAATAAAATTTGGAAAGAGATACACATGCAACGTATAGCAAGTGCAAGAAAAGAGGGCAAGGTACTTAAGAGTACAAACACAAGAAAGCGAAACGAAACGTAAACAAAGAGTAAACATCAACATCGAGTACGAGTAAGGCGACGTAAGCATTTAGTTAGAAGTTAAAGACAAAGGACGGTGAAATCAAAGTGTTAATATTTCAGTTTTCTACCTATAAACTTTCTATACAGCAAGATGATCAAATTAAATACGCTAAAGGTCACCCAGCTTAATACACTTCTAAGAGGAACCGATTTACCACTGACGGGTACCAAGGCAATCAAGATATTAAACCAACGAAGTAGATGTAATCGGGATTGAAGATGAAAGTTCCAATCCTACAAGTGATCTACAAGTGCAACTCAAGAGTGATCTACAAGTGTAACGAAGACACACCAGGGTCAAGTGTATCAACTTTGGAATTAGTTCAAGATTTAAGAATACCACTACAGAACTGAACTGTCGATTCAGGCTATGATAGGGATTATGCTTAAATTCGACCCTCTAAAGAGTACAATGTCAGCAACACAACTTATAACGCGAACTGAACAATTGCAACAATCCTATGGCTGGAAATAAAACAGAGTCTTGATCACAGATCAACACAAAATTAAAAAGCATGGCCAAATGGTGGCTGGATGCACAGTTCCAGACTTGGTCAGAATTTCTGAACGCATTTAAAGCGAATTTTCCAACAACGAACAATGCAGCGGAGACACATAAATTGTTTATGAAACGAAAACGTAAAAAGGGCAAATATTATATATAGAGTACTTTTACTCTATGTTAACCATAGGCAAGCAAGGTAAGATAGATGACGTATCCATCAACATGCACATTATCAGCGGTCTCAATGATACTGCATTAACTAAGCCATTAGCAACGATGGGTTTTACGAAGACCGAAACTAAATACAATGAAAGGCACACATCAATAAAGTCTTTCAATTGAAACGAGTTGGGACACATGGCAACCGCAACCACAACGGAAACTACAGTG